ATAAGATTTATTTTTTATTATTTTAATAAACTTAAAAAAAATAAAATATTAATAAGTTATTTTTCAGTTTATTTTTCATGATATAATTAAATATTGAAAAATATTTTTTAATTTATTTTTTATTATATTATCAAATATCAAAAAATAATTCACTTTTTTTATAATTTATTTTTTAAAAAAAATACATTTTTTAGTAAAGAAAGGGACAATTTAATTATTTCAAGACAACTAGCGAGCTTAATTCTTTATTTGGACTTGGACATTAGAGTCTTCGAGACAACCTGGATGAATAAAGCCATCTTCTCAACTTTTTTTCCACCTTTTTTTTTTTTTTTTTTTTGGTCCGGGGGGGGGACTAAGTTTATAAGGAGGTTTAGTTAATGTTTTTAAAAATATTTTTTATTTTAAAATATAATATTTTTATTTTTTTAAATTTATTTTTAATATCAAAATATTAAAATAATGTAAAATTATAAAAAAATAGTGTGAATAAAAAAAAAAGTTCAAAAATATTTTTTTAATGCAAAAACAAACACATCTAGAAAGGTACTTGAAACTTTGATGTATGGTATTTTTTAAAATAATGTTTTTGAAAATATATTAAAATATTGTTTTAATTTATATCATTGTGTTAAGATTATCAAAAAATAATAAAAAATATTTATTTAATATTTACTTTCAAGTCAAAATTACTTTTAGAAAGCATTAAAAAAGGTTGAAACCATGCCAAACATTCCCTAAATGGACACCTATTAAAAAAAATTAATTTTTTTTTTAAGAATGAAGTTAAAAAAAGAGAAATTAAAATTTTAAGTTATTTTTTAGTTTATTTTTTATGACATAATCTAATTTAAATAAAATAAAATAAAATTTTATAACCAGATATCATAAACATAAAATATTAAGTCGATAATTATAAATTAATCATAATCATGATTTCTCATGAAAAATAGTTATAATTTTAATGTGCCTTTTATTTTATTTTTTCAAAACATTTCTCTTTATTCTCAACAAATGAACAGATCTTTCAATCTCTACTGGAAATAAAAATAGAAACGAAAAAAGAAAAAAAAAATTAACAAACAAGCTCGAGTTTGCCTTGTACATGAAAGCTGAGGAGATACTCAAGCCCAAAGTCCATTGATCACACCATCATGATGCATGTGACCCATGTTACAAAGTAGGCTTTTTAATTCCAAATACACGAACGATATCCAAGCCCATGCAATAAAAACGAAAAAAATATTTCATTTCCTTATTTGTACGGATCGAAACCATTTACTATCGCGGTGGGTGATAATTTTCAATTACCTATATATATATATATATATATTGGAAGCATTCTATTTTTGTGTTTTAAAATATTTTTGAAAAAAATTATTTTTTTATTTTTCACTTTAATTTTTTTATTTTCAATTTTTTTTAATATATTTCTAAAAAAACTTTAAAAAATAATCCTTGCTACATTTCTAAACACCTCTTTATTTTATAAAAAACCGACTTGCGTTGTAATTTTCCTTAAACTAAGAAAATACATTTATTTTTTTTTTAAACGCGATTCATGTTGTCTATAATTTCTACAAGTGTGCTTTTACATGAATACACATACATACATACGGAGTCAAAGATCTCATCATTTGATGTGTGCCAGGCTCCCATGGCAGCAAAGTAGCCCAAAATGTTGCCCAAGGGCTTCAACTTGATGATACATGCAACTATGAGCTTTGCCGTACTCTGAAACCTCAGTGGCAAGGGCCCGGCCCAAAATAACTTCATGTAGAGACATGGTTTACCTATTGACCGATAACTTAATGAACTGGATCCTCTTCCAGGTTGGACCTTAGACCGGAAGACAATTTTAGATCCACTAACCTTAATTTTCCAACCCTCCATCGTCTTTACTTGTATACCTTGGAAGGTCTTGAGTTTGATTGAAGCTCTCGATTACCTCTAGCTGAGCATGGCATGATGTGGAAATGCGTAATCCTCCCAGCATGACAAATAGCAATAATAAAGATTCTGCAGTACTATGATGGACATAAAAATTAATAGAGGGGTGGATGTCTGATGATGATAGAAAGAATAAGACAAACATGCTCATTCTGAAATAATGGTTTGATCCGCGTTAGTAGGTTATGTGTTCTCTTGCAATAAAATATTTATGCTCTTGGAGGCCTGCAACAAATAGAATAATGGGATAAATTGTTGGGAGTTGACCTTTGCACTGAAGTGATCTAATCTTCTCAAGTCTCAATGAACAGAAAAAACAAGCAACACCAGTTTTATATCCACATGAAAGACTTAAGTCTATAGACAACCTTTTGATAACCACAAAAGGGCCAGTTCTTCGAAATATTTCTGCTAAGCACAGAGTTTATATAATTAACATGATTGTAAGTTTGTGATGACATGGTAGGTTTTATGAAAGACGCATCTTGGCATGATAATAATTCAAGATCTCGATAAAAGAATTCTGGGAATCAAGTTCTAGTCGCTATCTATCCGCGTTTGATTAGTTAATCAGGTACACTAATTCTATTAAGGAATATCACGAGAAAAAAACAATTAATTAACATACGTACAATGCTCGTGAGAACCAAATAAATGATTATAAATATTTGCCAACAAGGCATATATTGATTCGATGATTAAAAATTTAAAATCGAGACCCTCAAAGTTAAATTCAAATCTCATAGTAAAAAAAAAAAACTGCGAAGAAGAAATCAGGTTTATGTGCGACAGGATTAACTAATTAATATCTAGGCATTTAGCCGGTCCAGTGGTTATCATGAATCTTGCAATTAGTACGGTACTGGGAGAGCAAATCCATGGACATTTGATGAATTAATCAATTTATGACAGTTTAGGGCTGAGTTCCTTAATTTATTGAAATCAATTTAGTCAGACGAATGTGAATTAAAATCTTCCTTTTTTGTTAGTTGCTCAAGCAGAAGCTCGAAGCGTGAGGCAGAGATCGAATTATAATTTATGTCAGTACCCTTGGATCGATCGCATGGTATACTTGCAAGTGATGAATACTGATTGCATGCCAGCTGGAACAAACAAATCGGATTCCAGGTTCATTAATTTGCATGGGAAGATCTATGTGAATTGCAATTAGTGATGACAACCTAATGAGATTCTGACATGTAGTTAACCTTTGTCCGAGCATCGTCTAGCTCGAGTGGATGGCTATTACTTAAGATTTAGTTCCTCGGTTTCATCCTAAATTGGTCTTTACCAGTATCTGAACCATTTTACCGAAGATTTTTTTTTCTGCTCAATGCATTTAGGTAAACCCCCAAACCTTATAGAATGCCATGAATGTTTGTGCCAGAGATCGAGTATCATGAATCTTACCTTGTTTGGATTAGAAAACAGCATTGAATCTGACGACATGTCAGGAGCAGAATATTAAAACTTCAGACACATAGAGGTGGAGGAATCCTCGGAGAAGCCAAAAATACAAGCCTTGTTGTTATTCGGTATACGGTTATATTATAAATACAGGCAAAGACAAATCCGTGAACACCGACACCAAGAATCATGGGCTTGTCAGCCTTCCCCATGCCCGCCTCTTTTCATTTGCATTTTAATTACACTTTTAGGGCTCCTGTGTTATTTTCTCTTGCAAGCACTTTCTCGGTGCAGGAAGCCAAAACAAAAATATTGAAATTACTTGGTTTTGGTTATGTTTATTTATTAGAAAATAATTTTTTTAAAATAAATTTTAAAAAAATAAATTATTTTCTAATGTTTGATAATGTAATAGAAAATAAATTGATAAATACTTTCTAGTTATATTACGAAGAATAAGCTGGATAATTTATTATTATTATATTTTTTTAAGTTTATTAAAATAATGAAAAACAAATCTTACAAATTAAAAATTTTAATAAGAATGAAATTGAAAAAAAATATAATTTTATAAATTATCTCAAATAAAATAAATAATAATCAAAATAATAGAGATTAAATATAAAAAATAAAAGATGAAAAAATTAAAATAATAATAATTAATATTTCATAAATTATTTCAAATAAAATAAATAATAATCAAAATATTGAGGATCAAATTTGATAGATAAAAAATCTTAATAAAAAAATGATAAGGAAAAAAAATAAAAATTATAAAAATAAGGACTAAAGTTAATATAAAATTTAAATTTTAAGAGATAAAATTAAAAAATAAATATTTCAAACAAAATATTTATAATAATCAAAAGTTTAAAAATCAAATTTGATATAATTAGCAAATAATATAATATTTTTAAATTTTTTATAATTTTTTTTAAAATATTTTCCTCCTAACTATTTTTTAAAAATATTTTTCTAAAAATTAAATCAATTTTTTTATTAACTAAAAGTTTTCGGAACCACTTTGTATAAAAAAACACAGCCTTAACTAAGTAACAGTTCCTCGGTGACTACATTCTATTATATTTTACCATGCATACGATCAATGATGTCAGGATTCGAAAAGGTTAGACGTGCTTCCCCAAGCGCGTGTGCACTGCTTGCCCAGGCATTCCGTTAGGATCTCTTTACACCATGCAATTTTTTCCCTCTCGTAAGGATTTTTTATTTCTCAGTTCTAACCTTTACCAAACCTATACGGCTAACATTACATGAATGATGCCCATTCCAGACATAAATAGCGTCACATGTACGAGTACTCATTGTATATATAAGTGTGTGTGGGTGGTTGCCTATAAAAGTAGGTGTAGAAATTAAAATGTATATGTGCTGTGACTTTTGAGAGTTAATTAGGGTTCGGTATATATCAACATTTCAGATGGATATATCTTAGCCATGTCAGCTGAAATATTACTTTCTGTTGGAATATCTAAACTCTATTTGAAATATTAATGATGATTGAAGAGAAAAGTTGTAGCAGGAATTATCGGAACCCAGAAGTTCCTGCTGGGTAACTGTTTGTGATGATTTTTTCAGTCAATAATAATTCCTCTTATATATATAGAAGCTTCTCGCTGTCCTCCTTACAGCTCCAAGTTAGCTATATTGAATTATGAAGCCGGGAAGTGATCAGAATAGTGATGGTTTGAAGTTTGATCCTTCAGGCAAGAACAATGAGGAAGGAGATGATGAAAGTAAGACTAAAAATAGCGGAAGCTCGAGTAATAGCATTGTGGAGGAGTGCGAGAAAGCAAGCTCTAGTGGGGTAAGGCCATATGCAAGATCGAAGGTACCTAGGCTAAGATGGACTCCTGATCTTCATCTTTGCTTTGTTCAAGCTGTGGAGAGACTTGGTGGTCACGAGAGTAAGATCTTGGAATCTCTCCCACTTCTTGACCATGATGATGTTTTTCTGAATACTTGTGTTTTCTGAATAATTATTTTTGAACTTTAACTTGTGATCTATTTGTTTGCTATAGGGGCAACCCCAAAACTAGTGTTGCAACTAATGAACTTCAAGGGGCTACGTATTGCTGATGTCAAGAGCCATCTACAGGTAATAGCACTAATCCCATAATTATTTACTACAAAGTTAGAAAATTTTGACTGAATTCTCAGATGATTGATCGTATCACTTAATTTCGTATTAATATCCTCTCTTTTTTTTTGGGCGTTTGGAAGCAGATGTACCGGAGCAAGAAGATTGACGATCAGGGTCAAGGTGCCAGTTTTGTGATTTTCTCCTTCGTATGTTTTGAATAAATTAGTTATTAGGGTTTGTTTCTTAATTGTTTACTTATGCGTTCCTAATTCATAAATTGACAGTTATAAACGGTATGGGGGATCTAATTCGCAGTTCGGACAAATTCTCTCACGACTTTTGGCAACACTCTCTGCTTCCAAACATTGATCACAATCATAATTCTAACTTCAGGTACTAATCAAATATATGTATCTTTTTTCTTGAAAATTGAACTTGTGGTTCCTTTTGGGCTTAAGCTTATGAGTTTCCAAATCACACCAGATGTGGAAACGTTCCTTGGAGTGGACATGGAAACTGGATCACCAAGCCTTCTGTACCGGATAGCATAACTACTAGAAGAGGAGCTGGATTTTACAGCTCAATGGCTGAGAAGATCAGTGGAGAAAAGCTAATGCAAGAATCCCAGGATACTCAATATCACAAATCGATCTACAATAGCGAGTCAATCCGCAGCCAAACAAGCTCAACCATAAAACAACCTTATTTTGTAGCCCAACTTTCTAAAAGAAGAGGAGAAGCTGCTAATAAATCAATAAGCTTAGAGACAAAGTGGAGCTTCAACGTGGAAAAGTGTAACAAGGCTAAAAGGAAGGTTGATGATCTTGATTTAACTCTCTCACTATGCACAAAATTGAAAGGAAAAGAAGTCAAGAGAAGTTTATCATGGGATGTGGAAGATGTGGGCAGCAATTTATATCTCTCTTTATCTTCTACCTCAACGAAAGAATGCAATTCTATAACTCTGAACATGCCTTCAAAGTACCCGAAATGGACAAGTACCCTTGATCTGACTATGTGAATCTGAGAATTCAAAGTGAGATCTTGTTGGTACTTGTACAAGAGCATTGGTACAAATAAATTAATGTTGTGTACTGAGATATGAAGTAATGTCATGATTTCCCATTTATGCTATCCATTTCCAGATACTGATGCGTTGTTTACATGGAATTTTCCCATATATATATGTATATGTTTCCTTCAGTCTAAACTAGTGGCTAACCTTGAAATTGCAAACGACGAACTGTTTTTTTCTTGAAAATAAAAGGGGACAAATTCGAGATATACATTTGCTTTGCTTATCAAGGCATTCCCACACCACTAGAAATACTATGCATTAATTGAAGTGAGAACTTGATAGCTAGGATTAATTTTATTCTTCTTGCAAGTGACCAGGTACAAAATTATCATTGCTGAAATATATAACAGAAATATACCGAAGGATTTTTCACTGAAGAGAAATTCGGAAAGCCTCTCTGCTTACCTCTCCTGGCAAAAAAATTAATAATCAGATGGTTTATTTTTCTCTATTTTTCTTTTTTCGGTTAAATCCATTTTTCTATGCTGTTTTTTAAGCAAGAAAATATTATAACTATAAAGCTCTCCTTATTAGTGAAAATTGCGGATAGAAGAAAATCACAAAACCCAATAAGCCGTTGATGCAACAGTAGTGAAACGCAAAGGGTTTGATCAACATGCAAGAAACTAGCTAGAGATTTTTATTTTGATAAGTCTGAATCTTTTTTTTTAACAAAGTTTATGAAGCCCTAACAATCTCATGACTTGGACCGAATTAGAAAATTAAATTTAATATTCGTAATAAACCAAAATATTTGTATTGATAACTAAAGTTTTAACTACTGGAAATCAGAGAAGTAATTAAGATATTGGCGATATCTGTGTGGGTTAAAATTGGCCTAGAAAATCTGATGAGAAAAGAGAGTAGATTTTGACCTTAAAATTGCCTGTGCCTCAATCCCAGGGCTATATATAAAAGACTGATGTTTTTTCCGCCATCTTACGGGCTCCAAAACTCCTATATATCATTGAATCAAATGATGGCACTTCAGAACTAACTTCGATCTCCAAAACTACAAGTTTTATGTTGTGTTTTAGGTTTAAAAGCTCTTTGGGCATTTGATATCATATGAATTTTAGTTATATTTTAAACGCAGAATTTGACAATTGTATATAAAAACATAAAAAATATATATAATACCATCTCAAAATTCAAGTGATGTTTACGAGACAGAATAATATAAAGCTGTAATGGTCTTGAAACTAACATTATTCCAAGTTCCTAAAATGAATAAGACTCTAAAGACAAAACATGCGGGAAGGCAAATGACGAAAACTTGAAACTGCAACAAAAAATTCCTATTAAAAGTTGCTGTTTTACTGCTGGGAAAAGACACCAATGTAATTAAATTTATAATCCATAAATCTCAATTATTTTTGTCTTTGAAATATTAAAAATATAATTAATCAATCAATAAACTAACTAAACAGTCACAATAAATTAGAACCAAAAATTTTATGTAGATAACTAAACAGTCACAATAAATTAGAACCGAAAATTTTATGTAGAAAACTCCCATCAATGCGGGAAAAAACCATAAGACTATAATCTATATAAAAACTTTCATATTTTTTATTAATTAAAATTAAAGGTTACAACATAAATAATCAAGAATAATTTATTTTTAAAATGCATCAGCATTAAAGAGAGAAAAAAAAAGGGAGAAGAATCTCATAAAATTAAAGCCATGCTTGCTTATTTGAAGAACAGAACAACTCAGATAACTCTACTCTTAATTAATACAACCATGCAAAATTAAGATTTATATGTCCTGTTATAAATTCAACTACGTATCGAAGTTTGAACAAGATTATTAAAGCTGTCTCTTGTTTCTTAGTAGAAGTCGGTCACACACTTCAAAATAAATTAAAATTGGTTTTTTATACCTAGTTAATTACCTATACAAGCTAAAAAAAAACTTTAAACTTTTATCCTTCTTGAAAAGAAAGGACCATCCCAATCCCCAAGCATCAACCCACCGGCACGCCCGTATTGTCGTCGTCGTCGTTGCTGTAATTGCTACTTTAGCTACTCATCTTAATCTACTCTCCATGTATAAAAACCACCTGAACTATATATCGTTAGTCCAAGCATTGATATCTATCCAAGCCAGCACGATCCTCTATCACAATAACACATCCCCAAAGATATTCCAGCAAAAAACAACCAATTATCTGCCTCCGAAGCACACCACCATTAACTGATTAAATCCCCCAAACATATGCTTTCTAAATTCTTCCCAACGTCCACCAAAAGATACATAGGGCCCGGGAAATAAGATTTTTCCTTAGATCCTGGGACTTTGAAATTTAAAACAACGGGGCTCAGCTATGAGCTCCACACGCATAGGTAAGAACCAGTCGATTCAGTTCGATTTATCTAACTAAATAAAAAAATTAAATAATTGAACTGAAACAAAAATTCAATTCAAACAAAAGGATTCAGTTTGATTTATTTTTCTATTTAAAAATTCAATTTAGTTTATGGGTATTTTAACTAGATTCTTTTTAGAGACTTTGATGTAATGGGCCTGAATTTTTTGGTTTTTTTTAAGAAAAATTCAGTTTGTTTTTCCAGTTATAAAAATAAATCAGTCCATGAGTCTTCTAATGCTTTGGTTGAAATTAAAAAAAAAATTAAATTTATAAGATCATAATAACTTAGTAAAAAATAGAATATTGATTTTTTTATAATAAAACTTGATTATTAAATAATTTAATATTGAAACATAAAATTAAAAATAAAAACTAAATAAAAACTAAATTTATTAAAAAGTAAAATTTAAAAAATATATATTCAATTAAATAAATCTAAAAACATTAACCAAGTTAACCCAGATCAATTTATCGGATAATAAAATATATTTTGATCTCACTTAAAGGAGCACTAATTATATTTATTTCTGCGGTTTATGTCGTTTTAAGAAATGCTACCATTTTTAGGAGCATACTTTGGCCGGTGAAGTTTTCTTTTAAGCTTCTTTAATAATTTTGTTTTTGGATTCATTAAAAAACGTGACTGAAAGAAAAGAAGAAACTGAAAACAAATATTCATTGATTAAAGTAAAATATAAAAAGTTTATCCATAACTTCTAGACATACAAGCTATCAGTCACTAAGAGAGAATGGATAAATAGAGAGAGAATTGTTTTTTTCATTTTACAGCAGAAACAAAAATTAAAACATATAAGGAATTTCAATTGAAAAAATAATTAAAAGGATGCACGAACCACAGAGCATCCGAAGGTTTTGCATTCAAGGAGCAATTAATTATACTTATCAGGATCTTGGTTGGTGGGCATGGAGTTGAACGTCATCATCTGCTCAATGCCACCCAACTGTGGATTCATATTCAGTACTATCGATGAGCCAAATTGAGGCAAACTTGGACTCGCCATTTCTTGCTCGCTGGGGTCCCAACCAAGCACGCACCTCCATCCATCTGCATGTTGTTTCACAGTAAGCTGATTCAGTTTATGCACTCCTTCAGTGCATTCTCCTTTTTTTGCTACACATATAGCTTAAAAAAAAATCTTATTCAACAATGTTCTTCAATGCCACGCAAGCAAAATAATAGGGTGTCACCCTTTTATAAAAAAACTTATTCATGAACAAATGGATTGATCACATAGGTGGACTCAAAGATCATGACATGTGTCTCTTAAGGGACAGATTATATGGCTATCTCCAGGGGGTTTCAGTTTGTAACCTTAATAAATGGTGATTTTTCAAAAAAAGAGAGTAGAAGGACCAAAATAAAGATCAAATCTAAAGTCATTTACTTTGCCCATTCAAATATATGTGCAATTTGACAAATCAACGAGAAAGTCAATTTTCTTTCATCGTGATTAAAATTTTTATCACATTATTATTATTTTTATTTCATTTTAATATTATGAGAGCTGTTCCTATTCTATTAAATTAGAGAATTCGTAGTTCCTCCCCTTTTGATATATTTAGATTTACTTATTATACCAAGTGATGATAAAAAAAAAAAAAATGGTATGTGCATACCCATGTATCGGCTATGCTGGCCACCTAGGCTTGCCCAACGGCTAAAAATCCTAGTTGAACGGGTATGCTCGAATGGCTAGAAGCTGGGTATTTCAACACCTTAATTTGATCTTAACTCATCTTGATTTGTCCAATCTTATTACAATACATATATTTATGTTTTGTTTTAGGTTCTTAGAAGTGCATATATATTTTTTCATGTATACAATACTTTTTCCATGCATTGTAAACACTATAACTAGTGATTATTTTCAAGTGCTGTAACCAACTAATATCCATTTTAATTAATTTACACGTGAAACAACTTAACTCATGAAAACTTTTTATGAAAATATTTTTTTTATTAAAATAAAATTTATTAGATAATAATATAAATTATATATTATTTTTTTAACAGTTTAAATTATTTACTCGAGAAAATTCTTTAACAAAGTCCAATACATACATATATCCAAGTATAAATAAGTAAAAAAAAAAAGAGTCATGAATCTATTAAAGGCTTAGCCATGAAAACTCATACATGCCATTAACCACCCATGACCCAATAACTCCTGAATCTACAAACAATTACGTAATAATTTTTAAAATAAAAAAAAACAATTACTTTTTTCATTTACTGTATGTTATTTTAACCTTTTATATTTTACTAATTAAAATTTTAAAGTCTTTTTTACTTCACTTCCAGCTTTATTTATTTATTTATAAGGAACAGTAATCAAAATTTATAAGAATAGAATAAGGATGTGATCTATTATATGTACCTTGGATTGAGGTAATATAAGCCATCCGTTCCGAAGAAAGTTGAAACATGTTTGTATTCACGGCCATCTGCTGATCGAATCCATTTTCCCAACCAGCCAACATAACTTCTTGTTGCGTCAAATGGAGTTGCCTCAGTCTACTCACTTCTGCTTTGTTGTCCTCTATCTCAGCTGCAAAAATAATTTAGCAAACATAAATAATATTGAAAATTTATTTAAAATCATAGTTAATTAGCATATTTAAGATCAAACTAAAAATAAATTTTATTTACTTTTATAA